TATATAAAGATGGTGGCTCAGCTAGTGGTGTGAAGAAGTTTTATAATAAATTTTCCAAGAACATAGTCAGAGGAAGAAATAATCATCGCCATAATCATCATGTTTCTCTTATCATCCTTGTGTTTAATTTACCTTCTGCAGCTCTAGTTCATCAACAGAATCAGTAAGTTCCTAATCAGGGGAAAACTCAATCTGATCCAATTCCATTGACTTATACAAAGTCGTTTCCCATCCTGATGCAGAGGAATTAGGTTCAGACTTGACTTCTACTGAAGATTCCTGGGAAGATGCCTTGATACTACAAAGATGATTTAACTTGTGCCTTTCATCAGGGAGCCCCTGGGCATAGCATTGAACATTGTTATTCATTGAAAGATGAAGTCCAGAAGTTGGTCAGAAGTGGTATGTTGTCATTCAAGAACGTCGGCCTTGAAGTTCAAATTAAGCATTTGTCGAAGAGTAAACATGATTGATGGTTACTCTGAGTTTTAAAGGATATTTTCAGCAGCTCAAGTCCAGATGGAGAGAGTCTTCTTAGTTTATTATCATTTTTACTGCTTTCCCTTGTAATCTTTCATGTTTGTTAAATTTTTGTTTGCATGTAAGAACTTTTTTACATTTGAATGATTATCTTAATGCAATGAGTATGTCTGTCTTGAAGAAATTCATTCATTTCACTCATATTTGTTTTCAAATTTTAAATATCTTTTTGCATTATGATACCAACTTGTTGCTCATTCTCTTTCCAAGGCAGATATTGAAGGGAGGATGATGATCTAAAAAACGTAAAATCTCTGGTTGTATGCTTTTGAATAAAATCTCGCTGATGATGTACATGCATTGTTTCAAATCCCTAAACACCAGAGATATAAGGAAGATAAGCCCTTGCTAACCCCTTTTGAGACTTAAAGTAGGAGTTTCTTTTCTATACAAAAATATTAATTTTAACCTGGGGCATGGTAGTTTTCAGTTAATCTGATCGAGTGTTCAAAATTCATCAGGAAAATATTTTTGAAGAGAAACCGCGATGGCTATCCTTCATATATCATGAGGCCAGAAGATGCGAAACCATAATGGTTATCCCTCATCCATCAAGAAACGAGGCAGTCACAATCCTCTCAACAATTCAAGACAAGCTAATTTCACACGTTTTGTTCAAAAATCAAGAAAAGAAAGTCCGCTAAGTTGAAAAATTGAAAACAAGAGACTTAGGAAAAAATTAGGGCATCCGGCTGGACTATCAATTCAAAAGAATTAGTTCAGGAAAAAGTTAGGGAAACAAAAAAATTGCAAAGAAAGGACTACAAAGAAAAGTCCACAGCTAAGAACAAATTCGTGTGACTACAAACACAAACACAAACACAAGAAAGGTGACTGCTACTCTGAAAGCCTTATGACTTCCTTAACCATCCCAAAGTATTTTTTTTGAGAAATGAACACTAGTGTTAAATTAAGTGAACACAGGACTGGAGAACATCACGAAGAATGGGTGGGCACCAATAAATTTTGAGCCTTAAAAATCTTTGTTTCTGAAAACCGTGAATCAGGCCACGTTATAACCTTCAAAAGTCCTAATTAAATCAAGGTTATTTCAAAGGCAAAATTCGAAGAGATTGCGTTCCAGACTCTCATGAGTTTTGTTAAATATTTGTGTTGATTTTGCTATACAAAAATAAATGCTACACTAACTCGCAGAGTTTGTGCGATATCTTTTCAAAATCTTCAAGACTTACATAACTGTTGCATTAGAATTTTCATTCTCAGAATAAACTTTTTCTGCTTGTAAAACATTAGTTTGATATCAAGGAAGCTTACATATAAGCACCAATGATGAGTTTAATCTTTTAAGGTCTGAAACTTTATTAAGTAATTGGAGAATCATTTTCAAGAATGATCATATCCAAGGACAAGTCGCCTGAAGACCTTCAGCATGAACAAGTTGTTGCCTTCATAGTTCGTTTACCCTCATAGGGAAAATTCAAAAATTCTGTTGTGCCAAATATAGTCAATATGGGGCAGTCACGTCAAGATTCGACGAATCTCTCTAAGAGTTTGAAGACACTAAAACATTTTGGATGCCAGGTCTTTTGTAAAATCCTCTTGAGACGACTTCTTCTCATCAACCATATAACTTGGGGCATTTTAGAAGTGAAGTTACTCGCAAGAATTGTCGTGCATCACGCAGCTTATCAGCAGTAAACTTGGGGAATCCAAAATTAGTTCCATGGACAATCCATATATGTCAAGATATGTGACCTGCTTAGCATATATTATTAGATGGTGGTGTTCTCCAGTATTTCTAGCTAAGAAAGATTTTTCTCCAACTGAAGCAAAGTTCGTGTTGTTATCCTTTAAATGGATTATTAATGTTAGAAGATTAGACTTTGGATTTTCTCCTGAAAAATATCTTCCTCCCCAGAGAGATCAGAGCCTTATAGAAGAAATATGCTTCGTCGATGGCTTTTATTCTATCTCCAGTAATGGTCTCATCTTGTTGAGGTTAGTCGAGTATTTGGTTGTATTGTGATGTCTTATCATCTCCAATTTATCTCTTCTATTTGTTTTTTCAAACATATACATGACATTCATTTATTCGTTCACACTTACATTATTCATGCACATTCACATTTCTCTATATTTTTGGGTTCATCTCCGTTGGTTGGGTTTATCTCCAAGTAACTTATTTCCTCTTTCCAAATAGAGTGACAACTTAAGAAGAAAGTGTACATCCTTTCTAATCCCTCACTGAGTTAACTCTCGTGGAAGAATCTTGCTTTAGATTTCCTTTTCAATCTCTAAATAGGATAAATCCCCAATTGAGTTGTTTCCTCATTAAGTGGAGTCTTGTTTGACTGTTTTCTCTCCAGTTTATTCATGGATTGAGCTTTGTCTCTTGTGGACGCTACCCCATGGATCTCTCTAGGCTATGAAACCTAGATGGAGAGTGCATTTATTTTTCACATTTAAATACTTGATCTCCTCAGGAAGAATCTATTCATGGTTTTCCATTGAAGATGAACTTTGTTTCCCAGTAGTGTTGTTGCAACACTCTTTTGGAATCTCAACATGACAGCAAGTGGCAGACTCTTCATGAGCAGCTTGTGTATTATTGATATCTTTGAAAGATAGAAAGTTGCAGACTCTTCATGAGCAGCTTGTGTATATTGATATCTTTGGAAAGCAGCAAGTGGCTGACTCTTCATGAGCAACTTGTATATTATTGATATCTTTGGAATGTAGTTAGTGGAGGACTCTTCATGAGAAGCTTGTGTATTATTGATATCTTTGGAATGTAGCAAGTAGCGGACTCTTCATGAGCAGCTTGTGTATTATTGATATCTTTGGAAAGCATCAAGTGGCGAACTCTTTATGAGCAGCTTGTGTATTATTGATATCTTTGGAAAGTAGCAAGTGGAGGACTCTTCATGAGCAGCTTGTGTATTATTGATATCTTTGGAATGTAGCAAGTGGCAGACTCTTCATGAGCAGCTTGTGTATTATTGATATCTTTGGAATGTAGCAAGTGGCAGACTCTTTATGAGCAGCTTGTGTATTATTGATATCTTTGGAAGATAGCAAGTGGATGACTCTTCATGAACATCTTATGTATTATTGATATCTTTGGAATATAGCAAGTGGCGGACTCTTCATGAGCAGTTTGTGTATTATTGATATCTTTGGAAGATAGCAAGTGGTCGATTCTTCATGAGAAGCTTGTGTGTTATTGATATCTTTGGAAGACAGCAAGTGGCAGCCTCTTTATTTGAGCAACATGTGTATCCCCAAAAATATGTTATTTCAACAGAAAATGGGGTCTCTTTTGGGAAGTTTGCTCATCAACATCAAATGACATCTCTTTTGAGAAGTTTGCTCATCGACAGCAAATGGCATCTCTCCGAAAAGTACCGCAGAGAAGTTTGTATATTACCTTTTCTGAATGATATCTTGGATAAAGAAGAAACTATTCTCCATTCTAGGAGAAATCCAGAAGTCAAAGGAGTTTATTATCCTTTTCGAGTGATATCTTGATCAAAGAAGAAGTTGAGACCCGTTCTAGGTGGAATGCCAGAATTTTGGGAAACTTATTATTGTTCTTTGAGCTGGTAGTTCACTCGCTTATTAGTCAATATATTCTTCTTTCTCCTCATTAGACTTTGCCATAATAGAGTTGAGCTTTCTCCAGTCTCAGTACTGATGCCAATCATTTACCAATCTCAGTACTGATGTAAATCATTTCTTTCTCTAGTTGCAGTACTGATGTTAATCATTTCATCCCCAATCGTAGTGCTGATATCAATTATTCGCTTAACAGTCTCAAGGTTGGCATTCACTGTCGTTTCTGAGTCAATATTATGTTGTTTGTTCTACCATCAACCCTGACTTGGTATTTCACCTTCAGTAAAAGTTGGTGCATCTTTGTTTCACCTTCAGTAAAATTTGGTAGTTCACCTTCGATAAAAGTTGGTGCATCTTTTTGTCTACCTTTGACTCTGAGTTGTAAACTCACCATCATCTTGAGTCAGTAGCCATTTATTTTTCGCGGCCTATGCAAGGCGTTTTCTTTGTTATAGTCGGGAAATTGTTTTCTCTCAAAGTTATTCTCAAATAAGAGTCTCTCATTCGAAGTCTGCGGCTCTGTTTCACCAGTAGAGTTATAAATGGTTAAATTGAATGGTACATGAGTGGGGGATATAATTGATGACGTTATTTTGAAAAATGGATAAACAAAAAATTATTGTTGTACTCGATATATAACAAGATAAATAAATTGAATTAAAAGAAGAAAGAAGCCATCACAATTGTATCTAAAAGTGTAATTCAACATCAATAATATAAATATAAAAATACAAACAATACAAATAGAAAGACTTTTTTACACCATACAATACAATAAATGTACCAATATCATTACAACCTCGTACAATTTGATACACGCAATAAGGAAATGATGCAACGTCTATAGCATGCAAAGATAACAAGTGGAGAAGTGTTTAAGGACTCTAGGTTGAAGAAGGTGGTGAGGAGAGAAATGGGATGGAGGGAAAAGTGGTTGGGATTGAGGTGGGAATGTTGGGAAGTGAAGTGACCGCTGGCAATGGTGGAATGTTGAGAGATGGAATAGTTGGAATATTTGTAGGAAAGCTTTGAAGTGGAGGCATAGTAAGCTTGAGAAGAGATGGAATGTTAGTAGGCAATGGTGGAAGACTTCCTTGAGAGAATGTTGGAATTGAAGGCAAAGGTGGCAATGTTGTTGGCCTTGGAAAAGTTGGAATGCCAGGAAAGTTAGGTTGTGTGGTTGTCTGCAAAAGTTGGCGAGCTTCTAGGATCATGCTTGACATTGTCACAATAACAAGTAAAACAGGGATGAAGGATTTGGTTGAGGCCATTGAATAACTTGATGAATTGTAGAAGCTAAGAAGTATTTGTGTATTGAGAGAAGTTGCTTTGGGATTTGATGAGGAGCAAAGAGATGATTGATGGTCTTATATAGAGTAAGAGAGATTTGATGGAGGGTTGTTTGGAGAAAATTAAGAGCTTTTTCCAATCTTTAGTTAGTTGAACTTCCCATGTTTCACTTTGACTAAAGCATTTTGTGGTTAGACTTGTTGGCTTCTCATTAACTCATATGACTATACCGTCAATATTTAAACAACACAGATAAGTTGGTATTTTCAGGGCACCAAAGCATTCAGGATACTGAAAGATAAAACATTTCAACATGCTTTAACGTTTGATTAGGTCATCTACCGCAATCCTTAATATCCACATCAAGATACTTTACACGCATCAATATTACAAAATAGGCTAGGGTAAATAAAATATATTTTCCCTCAATATTATGCATAAAATAACGGCATGAAGAAAAACCATTTTTGAAAGAACCCAGATTTGTTTATAAAATATAATAAAAATAAAATATTTTAAATAAAAAATAAATAATAAGTCGGTGCTTATAATTACTCTAACATATAAAAATATTTGAAATAATAACATATATTTTTTATATAAATATTATTTTTGTTTTGGAATTATTGTAAAAAATATTTAAACCAATAGTAAAGTTGTTCCATTAATATTCAATATTTTGATCAGTAACTTCATGTTTCTTTTAATATTCAATAATTTGATCGCTAACTTCATGTTTTCGTTAATATTCAATAATTTGATCAGTAACTTCAAGTTCCCGTTAATGTTCAATATTTTAATCAGTAACTTAATATTTCTGTTAATATTCAATATTTTGATCAATAACTTCATATTTCCGTTAATATTCAATATTTTGATCAGTAACTTCATATTCCCGTTAATATTTAATATTTTGATCCTTGACTTTATGTTTATGTTAATATTCAATGTTTTGATAAATAATTTTATGTTCCCGTTAATATTCAATATTTTCATCAGTAACTTCAAATTCTCATTAATATTAAATATTTTGATCAATAACTTTATATTCCCATTAATATTCAATATTTTATCAGTAACTTCATGTTCCCATTAATATTCAATATTTTTATCAGTAATTTCATATTTCAGTTAATATTCAATATTTTGATCACTAATTTTATGTTTCCGTTAATATTTAATATTTTGATCAGTAATTTCAAGTTCCTATTAATATTCAATATTTTGATCACTAATTCCATGTTCCCGTTAATATTTAATATTTTTATCAGTAATGTCATATTCCCATTAATATTTAATATTTTGATCCGTTATTGAAATGATGTTTGAATCTCTATGCTTAAAAAAACATATTTGTCATTCTCAAATATAGCTTCTTGGCAATCAATAACTGATAGTATTAATATAATTAAACAATAATAAATTTTAGAAAAGATTTAGTAATTGATTTAGTTGAATAAATGTTATTGATTTAATACCAAAAAAAAGTGTTTGATTTAATAAAAAAATGTGATTGATATAATAAATTTGGATATTATTACTCGTGTGTTCACAAGATATTGATGTGTTAGTCGTGCGTTCACACGGGTATTGGTGTGGTATGCACGCTTTTTTGTTTTTAAAATATAATAAAAATATAAATAAGAAAAATAAAATCGTTTTACCAAAATAATTTATTATTTTAAAAAAAATACATATTTTAAAAATAAAAACAAAATTATTTTACATATGCGCTTAACATATCGATACATGTGCGTTTGCACGGGTACTGGTGTGATATATATTAAGTTGTCGAGTTATTTACAAATTTGAAAAAATAAAACATTGTGATGAAATTAAGAAAAATAAAATAGTTTATTAATTATTTCTAACCAAAATAGTGTATTATTTTAAAAAAAGATAATAAATTGGTTTCTAGAATGTTTTTCATATATAAAAATATTTGGATCAATGGTTTAATTATTTCTTTATATAAATATTTTTGTTTTTAAATTATTTATAAAAATATTGAAACCAATAGTAAATTTGTGACCGTTATTGTTTAATATTTAAATCAATAGATTAATATCAATATCATATGTTCGTCTCATATCAGTACCCATGTATTCGCAAAAATCAAACTTTAAAATTTAATTTTAAATTTTAAATATTTAAAATTTAAAAATTATCTATTTATTTTGCATTCATTTTCAAATTAATTATCTTTTAAAGTTATAAATAATTTATAATAGTAATCATTAATTAACATTTGATTTTATATTTTTAAATTATTTTTAATAATGATCATTCGATTATTTTGAGAATAGTAAATTGACTAAAGCTCATACGTAGAAGTGGTAAAGTGGACGGTCCGCCTCGTTTAAGCTCGTATAAAAGCGGGGCGGAGCGGACAAATTTAAACATCTGAGTCCAAAAGTCAAGTCCGCCCCGTTTACTAACGAGTTGGCAGGTTTGCAGGCCGGTCTGCCAATTTTTTTAGTTTTTTTATTTTACGATTTAATTTATTACATAATTTACAAAAAATTTAATCATTACTAAAGAAGCCGACAAAAGATATTTTTTTTAACAACGCGTAATATAACTTCAACATGTCTTAAGTCCAAACACTTAAAAAAATAAAATAGATAAAGACACTAGCATGATAAAAAAATATCAAAATAAATAAATAAACCGATACATATTATCATAATCTTATTTAAAAATAATTACTAAAAGAATCCACCAATTAATAATTTGCACAAGACAAACAATAATAACAGTATAATGCATAAAACATCACAGTGCATAAAATAGTAGTGTATAAAATATTAAAACCTGACTTTCTCATTGTTTACGTCATATAGACTATTATATTGATTGATTCCTTAATAGTTATATCTTAAATTTGTCACACATACACTCTAATCGAATTCTTCATTTTCTTAAAATTAACATTTGTTTCTAAAGAAAATATGTGAACTAATGTATTGACAACTTAATGATTCTTCATGCCATACAATTTGTTATTGTATTTCAAGTTTTTCCAACCAATACATGTATTAGAAAGTTATATAAAAAACCTTACAATTATAATTCATTTGTCTGTATAATAGTTTAGAATGTAGTTCAATCACCATAATCCAAAGAGAATACTATTATTTTTATAGTTAAAGTTGTCTTAATTCTAAATAAAAAGTTGTAACAAAAAACCCGCGGGAAAACCCCGTCCTGTCCCGCCTAAACCCGCCTTTTAAAGCGGGTTAGGCGGGGCGGGCCAACTTAAAGTATCAAGCCAAAAACCTCTACCCAACCCGCCAAAAATGATAGATCAAACGAACTGATCCGACAAATCCGACTCGTTTTGCCATTGTCATTCTAGGCATGCATTGAAGAAAATAATCATTGTTCTATTGATACCTAGAGTCATAAGTCCATAAGATTTTGAGTTAAGTCAGGAGTTTGAACAACCATAGATATAATTAATAAATTCATCATTCGATAATACTTGGAATTACACAATACTTCCTTTGTGATTTTTGCTTATCATCAGGAACTCTCAATTACACTTTCTCTAATTTTCTTGAATTTCTCACTATGGTAAAGCAACTATAACTTCAAATTCTTTTGCCATGATAATATTGTAAAAAAAAATGACTGACCTTTGATCTTCTAAAACACCAACATATATATTAGGAAATGATTTCCAATAGAATCTACAAACCAATATCAGATCGCTAATACCAATTCAATTAATCCGGTTCACATGAAATTCTGACTTCGAAGAGAGCCCGCTTCTTTGATAAGATTAGTAAGATTAGAATTGACCACATGCAGAAAATCATAGATTCGCCAGTAAATCTGAATACTAATGTTTCTTGAACAAAAAAACTATATATGTTAAAATACTTAAAAGTATCTTGCAGCAGATTATAGAAGAGACATAAAATGAAATGAACTGTGTTTGCCAAGAGAAAGGGCAAAACAACACATCAATCATTAAGTAAGATCAAAACAAGTTAGACAGTAGAACAAAAATAGCAGAGCTCCAGAAGAATTAGCACTTCATCAATTTGTCAAATTATTTATGTTATGGATCAATGCCACAATTATAATTTATAGCATGTTCATGATACAAAAACTTCGGCATCATCAGTGGTGTATGTCAAGGTCCACTATGCCAAAATTGACTTTAGACAGCGCCACATAGACAGCGCTTATGCTTAAAGTGCTGCTATAGGTTTTCAGAAAAATTAATAATTAAAATTAAAGGAGAAGCGCTGCTAAAGGTATACTATAGACAACGCTTATTATAAGCGCTGCTATAGGCCTTACCATAGACAGCGCTTTCTTTCCCTAAGCGCTGCTATAGGTTTTCAGTAAAAAAAATTAAAAAATTAGAATAAGCGCTGCTAAAGGTTATACTTTAGACAACGCTTACTAAAAGCGCTGCTAAAGGTGTTATTCTAGGAAGCGTTGCTAAAGCCTAAAGCGCTGCTAAAGGGTATACCTTAGACAACGCTTTCCAGAAGCGCTGCTAAAGGGTATACCTTAGACAGCGCTTTCCAGAAGCGCTGCTAAAGGCATTACTCTAAAAGCGCTTCTAAAGGTAATACCTTTAGCAGCGCTTCTTGAAAGCGCTGTCTAAGGTAATTAAATAGTGTCTTAATCCCTAAATTGATTATCAGATTTCCAGAAATCCCAAATCGTACAAACGAAACCCCACACCCAGAAATCGCTCATATTCATCTTCTTCTCCAACTCGTCTCCTCCTATTCACCGTCCAACCGTGGTTCTTCCTCCAACTCTTCTCCAACTCGTCTCCTCACCGTCCAACCGTACTTTGGTGGTTCTTCCTCCGCGCAGAAGCAACTCTCTCCGGTGTTCCGATAACAACAACAGGTCAGTTCCGATAACACCATTTATGCACTTTTACATTATTAAGTTGTTCTTTTCTATTGAATAAAAATGTGGGTGGTCATGATACTAGCTAGAGCTGGGTAGG